GCTGTAGTGGTCACAGGGGATGCATCAGGCAAGGCAAATGATGCCCCTAACTATTTTCAGCAAGAGTTCACCCCTGTGAAGAAGTTTGTTGCTTGTAATAGACCATCAAACTAATTATAAAGTTTGGGCCATGGCTTCCTGGTAATTTCCCATGGTACAATTGATGCTGTTTGGGGCTTATGGCAAGCCCCATTGTTGGCAGGTCTGTCAAAGATTAATAAACTCATGTATACCACTCACTTTCCCTATAATAAACACGCCTTATGGGAAAAAACGATTTGTCAAGGATTGGTACATGATCTGAATTTTTCTAACAGGTTTTAGCTGCTCCATTCCCACCACACAGTCATTTTTAATCTAGATGCTTTCTAATAGTAAACCTTGAAGAGATTCGAACAATTCAACTTTTTATAAGCATAGCATTTGGTATTCTGGAATTCACACGGGGCAATCAGCCAAGAGTATTAGCGGTTAAAGTTGCCTACCCAAGTATATATGGAAGGATGTAATCAAAGGCACTGAACATGATTATCAAAAGAAAGTAGGAGATAAATGATTAGGCAATATTACTATCACTCTACTTTCCACCAATGCTTCCCCCCTTTTACTGACAGACCTCTTTCTGAAGTGTAATTTATCAGCATCTGCCTATGCAATAATGGAAGAGTCTAAACTTTAAGGTTTATTGGCGGTCCCTAAGAGTAAGCCTCTTTTATAACATGGTAACTCTTTCTGGTAACATAAAACACTGTTTACTATTTTGTAATGATTTGTTTGAGCTCTATGGCCTTTCTAAAATGTTGGTATACCTTAATTAAGTAAGTTACGTTATTAAAGATTAACCATGATGGTATTTAATCTATCTGTAAGGAATTAATAGAGAACAATGGGGTAAGTGTTTTTCCCCATAGTTCTCTTTAGGCTCCATTCCCACTAAGCGACATACCTTTTTAAGCGGATCCGCGCGTCCGGGATAGCGCGACTTTCGGGGCGACGTTCCAGCAACGGTAGCGCGACCTTCACCGTCGGGCTGCATTAAAAAAATAGAAAAATCGTGCAAAATCAGCCGCAAAAAGGGTCCTGTAGGAGCGACGGGCGACATGGAGCTGTACATTAAGACAGCTCCATTGAAAATAATTGACCAGCGACTTCTCGCGGCAAAAATGCGCAATATCGCGGCTGAAATCGCACGGCAATCCGCTTAGTGTGAATGGGGCCTAATGGTCACAGGAGGACACATGCTAGCGTCCTCCCGTGACCCAAAGCTCAGTATAAAGCAAGCTACAGCTTGTGGTATACTGAGACCACCGCAACTGGGACGGATCCCGACAATGCTGTCGAGATCCACTCAGTTGCGTGACTGCTGGCTCTGCCTATCTAGAGGCAGAGCCAGCTGTGCCCGCCCTCTCCCCCATCCATTTCTCCAGTCAGCGCTGGAGGATCGGAGCGGGGGGGGGTATCCCTGTGGGGAGCAGGGACTGACAGTCACGGCTCTCTGCAGGGAGATGATCGAGAAGTGAGCGAGCGCCGGTATGTGTTCGCTCACTTCCCAAGCTATTGAGCCGACGTGTGACAGTTTCATTGCCACACGTCGGCTCGAACTATGAGGATGAGTAATTTTCACTCACTTCATAGTTCTCCTTTAACTTTGTTTACCAGCACTTTAATGATGGATTCTGGAAGCAGAATTCCCCAGCGTTCTGATGTGTGACCATGTTGTATTGACAGTATTGTAGGAAATATATTTAAAGTTGCTATTTTTATTTTTCTGCATTTTAGGTAATGGAAGCAGTGGACCACAATGAAAGCTTCAAAGGTTTTTACATTCTTTTGCAATTACGTTCATAATGATTATGATTTCTACAATTAATCAAAATACCTGTTTGACCTTAAATATTTAAGGGCATGTCAAATGATACTTGTGGAGTTTTTATTTTAACAAAAATGTGAAAAGCAAAAATGAACTTTCCCCTTCAAGGTTAATTTGCAAATGTTAAGCATATCCTATGTTGACGTTATAAAGTCTAAATTAATAAGAAATAAAATGGTAAACATTTGTAAATAGCTAAAATAAATTGTGGTATCCAAAGTTGTTGACACCAAGGCAGATAAAAAAGCATTTTGGCTGGCTCAGAACCCTGGCAATATCCGAGTAACTGATACTGGAGTTGATTTTATGCACTGTAATTTATTGAAGCTGGAGGGTAACACGTCTATGTGTGTGTAGTACCTGATAAGTTGAAGAGGTATGTGGTGCCATTGTTTAAAAAGGATTAAAGTAAAGCTGACATTAGAAAAAAGGGGACTGCCATGGTTCTGAAAATGCTAGCTGCCTGGCTGTTTTTTTTATTTAATTGAATGGTGTCAGTACTGTCTTACTGACCTGAAACAAGCATGCTTTTAACTCAGAAAAAGATCAGAAGGGCTAATCTGCAAACTTGTTCCATGTTAGTAACACAAAGTATTGAAGTAAGGTCATTATGGAGGCCAGGGAAATTGCATTCTCAAAAGTTAGCAGTGGCAGCCTCTGTGCTTCTTTTGCATTGTGTTCCTCTTCCATTAAAGAGAATGTGTCCTTTGCTTTAGCAGGAAAAAGGAACAGGGTCACTTTAAAGTTGGTTTCCACACAAGCTTATTCTTACCACCCCTTTGCTCCCAACATTCCCATTCCATTAGGAACAGGGAGCAAGAAGAAGAAGATGCTATGAGTAGTCTTCAAGTAGATCCTGTTCTCTCTTAAGTAGCCAGTTGTGAAGCACCAGCGGCATTGTGACGTTGCTGGAAGAGGAGCGAGTCACAAGTTTACCTATCCCTGGAAGTAGGGATTGCTTTTTACTCCCGGTGGAACACGGAATACTGATGACAGTGATCTGCAGTATGCCCATGCCAAAAGTATATATCATCTTTAAAGCCTCTAGAACCCAAGTTTACATTTGCATATATATTGCAGTTATTAGTGAGAAATGTAAATTTTTTCATGGCATAAACATATGGCAGAAATCATTAAAAGTAACCTATAATGTTACTTATAAACTCCTCTTACAGAGATAAAATAGGCATCAGGTAAAGGTAGGTGCATTCATCTTTTTAAAATGTGGTTAAATCATGGGAGCATGAAGGCCCTAAACTAGAGTACCTGCAATATTCTAGTACCAACATTGCTGGGAGTCAAAGCTGACACATACTTCCACCACATCCTGCACCTCTACAACCTATTGACCTTCTGACACCTGATGGTTATGCTCTTCCACTTTCGCAGCCAAATTGGGATAGCACCTATTTCATATTTGTTACATGTTCCCATTCATATAGCATGGGCTAAAAAAAAAAAAAAGTAAAAATGCTTCTTGCAGTTTCAAATGTTTTTACTTGGGTTAGGATTTTAAGGGTTCAAATTTCTTCTTGCTTCTATTTCTTTGAAATGTTAGGAGGGGCTGTGAGGGGTGAGGGCTCTGAGGTGGCTTCTCCATTGTATGTTAATGAAGCATATCAGACTGTAAACACAATCCTCAAATTTCAATCCTAAGACTTTCCATTAGGACAGCCCACTGTGAAAGGGCTAAGAAAAACCTGGAATCAGCCATCTTGTCCTGATTTAAGGAAATGTAAGAATTTATTTATAAAAGTATTTTTCAGTATGCTGTGTGAACAGGAACACATAACGAACAAATTTGACTGTGAAAGTGGAAGTACAATTTAAGAGGACCACAGGTTTACTATAAGCCTCAAAAGTTATAAAAGTATAACGTTAAGGTACATCAGTCCCAAGGTTAGTTGTGACCCAAGATGCAATCACTATTTTCTTAAAGTGACATTAAACCCTCAGATTTTTTAACATAAACCAATACTGTAATGTGTGCCTTACTGTAATCCATGGTTGTTTCCCTTCTCTTTGCTGCTCTTCCTTTTAAATCTGTATCTGTTCTCATGCTCTGCAGAACTTCTGTTTTGCAGCAGACTGCCTTGTCTCAGGAATGGATACACGGTGTCTGTGTATCCATTTGTATAGGCTTGAAACCTGAGCCAGCACTACAGGAAGAGGCCCTGAGCTGAAAAGGGAAGTTCCCCCCAAGCATGAGAAGACATGAGGATTTAAAAGGAAGAACAGCAAAGAGAAGGGAAACAACCATGGATTACAGTAAGGCACACATTACAGTATTGGTTTATGTTAAAAAATCTGAGGGTTTAATGTCACTTTAAGTGAGGAAGCTCCGTAAGTATCAAGTTTTAGGGCCCCTGTGCACATGTTTTTGTTCATGTAAGCATTGCTTATTTCCCCATACAAGTGAATGGAAATGCAGAAGCAGTTTTAAACAGTTTAATGCAGCTTAGAAATAGATAAATTGCAGGTCAGAAAGTCATCTACAGGTCAAATGCACCTGTCAGTGACCTTCTCAAAGCTTATCTCTAGATATAAAACTCCTCTTGTAGTGGAGCTACCCTTGCATTGCAGGGGTTAACTGCTTGTTTTGTCTTGGTGGATCCCTTAAAGCACTTCAGCTTACCTGATCCCAGCTCCAACTGGCTCCAAGACCAATGCCTGCAGCATTTTCCCCCTACCGCTCCGGCAGTCGAGCTGGCGTCATCACATCTAATGCAGGGTTCTTTACCCTGCATTAGATGTGAGGATGCTGAGTGACATTCCACAGCTAGAGCAAAGGGAAAATAGGTAACTGCTGACTGCCAGGGGAGTGGGGATAAGGTAAGCAGAAATGCTTTAAAGAAACCCCCCACTGCAAGGGTGGGTATCCGGAGATTGACTTTAAGCTGATCTCTAATGCAAGCTTAATGCACCTAAAGAAAAGGATCATTTGCCTATCGACAGCTTGAACTGACCGCGTCTAACCCCCACAGCCTACCATATTGTGCACACAGTGTTAGAGTAATAAATCTGAAGAAATCATTATACTTTTAATATGCTGAGAGTATTGAGTTTTTAGGCCCCCCAGTCAGTAAATATATTTACCACACACCTGCTTGTTCAACAACCCCAACAAGGCATGGATTTTTGGAAAGATCACACAGGTTGCAACCTGTGGGGTACACTTATGTTGGGGGAATCCTCTCTCCAATCACATTACTTTAAAAGTAAGGAACCGGCATATTCATTGTATAAAGTGGCTGGAGGAATAAGGAAAGTAGGGTACAAACACTAAAGCAATTTTCTTTCACCTTATTACAACAGACCAGTTTCCAGAAAATACAAGAACATCTGACAATATAGCAGAGAAAAACAAGCTGGCAGCGGAAAACGGACATCTGTGGCAGCAGCCGTCATGGTAAGTAACCGGAATTCTAAATACAGTTTAAAGCGTATGTCCAGGCAAAATGTTTTTTTTTTTTTAATTTTCAATTGAAATTCCTTTAATTTGTACTCTTTTTAATCCCCTGTGTTCTGTTACCTGTTCACACTGCCAGCATGCTACCTTCTATAACACTTACTTTCGAGGGCTGGCAATGGTGCACAAGTGCTTCTTAAAGTGAAACTCAGGAATTACATCTTAAAAATGCATTCAAATACCTTAACTATTAACAAAAATGTATCTTATTTGTGTATCACTCGGCTGTAGATCCTCAAATCATCTCTGGATTGGTTCCGACACTGTCCTTCCTTCTGGAGGGTGGCTACTTTTGTTCCTCATGGTCCCTGTGTTTGTTGTAAAGTAGCCACCGCTCCAAGCTTGCTCCCATGATGGACTACAATCTCATGTTTAGTTTACTAATTTGTATTGAAATTATAGTCCATCACAGGAGCGAGCTTGGAGCGATACAAATACAAATTAGTAAACTAAACATGAGATCGTAGTCCATAACTGGAACACACTTGGAGCCGTGGATACTTTAAAACATACACATGGGGAACAAAAGTAGCCACCCTCCAGAAGGAAGGTCAGTAAAATATATGTTGGATTAATTGTAATATAGATGTATGAATAGTGCCCTAATTTGCATTCAAATTTTAGTTGCCAGGCCACCGAAAAGGGCAAAGTCATATATGAAGTAATTCATACTTCACAACAAGATATCTCTGTTTTGCAAGTTATATGTGAATTGGAAGCTTCACTGCAGGATGACACACAAGTTCATATACACAGCAATGGTGAGTTGTTAAAGTTTTGTGTAGATAATATATACCAGCAGTGTGTGAAAGGAAAGTGGTCACAACTGACCCAGGAAACCTTTTACTGAAATGTGACTGGTTGGTGAACTGAAGAGACTGGAGGGCATGTACATTGGACATAGGGACTGAAGCTCGTAAAGGGGAATCTAATATTGGGGTGGGCAAGTTTGTATATAAGTTATACTCTGTATGACTTAGAATACTATGGGAAAACATTCATATCAGTCCCTTTGGCAGAGCAATACACTATATTTTCTCTACTAGAATATACCCTTTTGCAGATGTGGCCGCTGACAGGGGCAAGAAAGTACCTTGTCAGTACAGTATATGAAAAAGAGGGAGGAGGGTTTATGAGACCAGGACACATGAATTAAATGTTATGTGACTCTTAATTATGCCACTCAATTGTAAAAGCCTTAGTAGCAAGAATAAACAGTTTCATAGATCTGTCCTCTGTAATAATTCCTCATTTACATAGCTGAGACAAATGTCACTTGAGAATATACTGTATATTAAGGGGCATAGCTAGATTGGCTCCCCAGCATCATGTGTTGGTGGTACAGAACCCAGTTCATATTCTTAAATCAAGAGGTAAGGCACAAAGGCAATGGTCAGTAGGTGGAAAAAATGCTTCAGTGTCAGTGGCCAGTTGGAGAAACAAATGCCTTGTGTCAGTGGTAAGTAGGAGAAAACATAATGCCAGTCAGTGAGAAGAAAGGAAAACTGTCTGCAGGGTGATGGTCAGTATGCCTGTTGCCCTGCTGTCAGTGGTTATTGGTAGGAAAACAATGCCCTGGTGTTAGTTGTCAGTAGGAGGAAAACATACCTTGTCAATGGTCAATAGGAGGAAAAAAGGCCACTGTGTCAGCGATGAGTTAAAAGAAAAATCCCTGGAATCAGTGGTCAGTAAAAGGAAAAAATACACCAGCAAAGGTGGTCAGCAGAAGGAACAAAATGCCCTGACATTGGTGTCAGTAGGAGGAAAAATATTAGGAACTCAGCAGGGGCTTGGGGGTAGCTGAGGAGGACTGAGGCTCTCCAACAGGCTGAAGGACACTGTGGGGGCTGTGGGGCTCTGTGGCTGTGGATAGAAGGCAACCCTTGGGCAGGCTTGGGTATTCTATGGGGGACCGGGGGTACTGCAGAAGGCTACTAGGGAACTGTGGAGGGCTGAAGGGCTCTAACGGGGGGAGGGCATGTTAGGGGGGATGGGGCTGCTATGGTTGGCAGGGGTTATTGTGAGAGGAAGAGGGTCTGGGAAGTACTATGGAGGGCTGGAGGCACTACATTGTAGAGGTCTGTAGAGGAAGAAGGGGGAGCTGAAGATACAGGGGGCAGTGCAAACAGAGGTTCCTCACCCACATATCCCTCCCTACACTTACTATTCAGAGTTTCAGACCATTACCCCAGAGTTAATGAAAGTGAAACTTCCCCTTCATCCTCTCTCTATTCATGTGACACATCAGGACCAGGAGAGGAAGAACTGGACTTGAATCTGCCAGCGGGCACCTGCGCTGACGAGGGATTTGCAGCTGCTTAGCATCAGGCGAGGCATTGATCTACAATGCTTCCCGGTGATGCCTGATGGAGCAGTGAGCAGTGTTGGAACCCTTGGCATTCCAGCATCAGGCACCCTCTGCTGCTTTGCAAAGTGTCCTGGATCCTAGGACACACAAAGGAGAGCTTCCTTCAGCCCACTACTCCTCATCTGTGGCCACTGCTTGGGATGCTTTGGAAGTAGTGTGTGTGTGTGTGTGTGTGTGTGTGTGTATTGCCAGTGACAGCAGCACTTGTTATAGTCTATAACACTCATGGGATTGAACCTAGGAACTGACATTTATAAAGCAGCAGCAATTTGGTGAACGATTTTGTCTTTAAAAGATCAGTTTAAACCTGTCACAAACCTGGGTCATTTTTAATCTAAATTGTTAAGTTGCTAGGATCTAGACATGCTGAAAACACAAAGATCACTGCAAACAGTAAAACGTCCAGTAGATGTCACTTTCTAACCACAAATGATTCCAGTAATCTTTGTGTTTAAAGTATATCTGAAGCCAAAAGTTTTTTTTTATTGTTTTATTTTGAGTATTAGGGAACAGTTAAAACTGCTGTCAAGTTTTTTTTGGTTTTTTTTTGCCATCTGTGTCTCATTAAAGAGACTTATACTCCACAGGAAATGAGAGGATATCTTTTCAATGTGAGGGAAATCCCCTCTTGGATAATTGTTATAGGAACAGTTGTCCCTATTGCAAGATTTCCCCTCTATTCGTGTTCTGGTGGCCACTCAAAAATTAGGATTTATCCTCACTTTTATTTCCAGTGTAGATCAGGACAATTGTAGAGAAAGAATCTTCCAAACAGAGACACATACAACAATTAAAAACCCAACAGTGATTCTATCTCCATATCAAATTATCAAAATCTAAAAAAAAAAAATTTGCTTTTAGTTATTCCTATAAAGGTCACTGTATCTAGGGGGAAATAAATCAAACCACCTATTGTCCTTATAAAATGTTACTTGGTAGTCCACTATTTTTAAAGCCCTAAAACCTCTGAGCTGAAGCATACATATTCTTAGTATGAAAATGGAACCTGCGCATATAAAGAATCAATACTCATCAAACATGCACATTCAATAAAGTAAAACTAAATCATATATTGATACTGCTGTGCAGTATACCCTGTGAGGCTTTTGACAGGGGACCCTGACTAATACTTTTCTGCACATGTTTGACAACTGCCAACCTTTTTGTATGACATCAACTGGAATAAATGCCGATACTCCCCAAAGGAGATTTGCTCGCTGTCTTGGAAGGTTTGAGGTTGCATTACTTCATTTTCCATTCTAACTGGGGAACTGGGCAGGAAGTGAAGCACTGATTGAGGTGTTCAATGGTTGTTTGAGCTGCTTCAAATCTTAATTTGCTTTTTATGAGATGGTAATAGAGAAAATCTTAATTCAAATTCTATGTAAACTGACAAAACCCATAAACCACAGGATTTCTTTTTCATTGGTCAATGCCAGCCGATCCAAGTCGACTGATACCATGCTTGGATCTATTGAGAGGCTTTATAAGAGTAACTCCGGGAAAAATGTATTAACCCTTGCAGTGGGGCTACCCCTGCACTGCAAGGGTTAACTGCTCGATTGTGTGTAGGTGCTAAAAACAAGTTATACTTACCCAAACTGCCATGCCGAATCCCTGCTTCTAAGGTCACTGAAAAGTTTCTCCTCTCACCTCATAGTTCTAAAAAGTTTCCACTCACCTCATAGTTCTAGCCGACCTGTGACAATGAGACTGTCACAGGTCGCCTCAGTAGATCGGGAGGTGAGCGAACACATACCAGGTTCGCTCACCTCTCGATCCTGTCACGGCTCTCTGCCGTGACAGGGGGAGGGCTGGATTCCCCTCTCCCCGCTCCGATCTGCCAGCGCTGACTGGCGGAACGGACGGGGGAGGGGGCGGGTACAGCTGGCTCTGCCTCTAGATAGGCAGAGCCAACTGTCACTCACGCAGCTGGGCGGATCCCGTCATCTACATCAGGATCCGCTCCGGCTGCGGCGTCTCAGTATACCACGAGCTGTAGCTCGTGGTATACTGAGCTTAGGGTAACGGGAGGACGCTAGTTTGTGTCCTCCCGTTACCCCAAGGAGAACTATGGGGAAAAACACTGACCCCATAGTTCTCCTTTAAAGATGTTGAAACACTGTTTTAGCATGAACAGTCTTACTTTTAGAAGGAACAGGAAGTTAAAATGTCATGTAAACAGACTATTACAACGTGAGTCAACATCTCTCTAAGATGTTATTTTTTTAAGTATTGAAAGGTTGCAGGTAGGTTACAGAATTTGAATGGCATGAGCACGTATTAAACTTCCATAAGTAAAAAAAAATGCTTTTTGCACTACCTTCTCCAAAGTTATATGTTCTCTGCATGTATAATAAAGATGAGAGGAGTGCAGACAGTCCACTGCTCCAATTCTCAGACCCCATCCAACCGTGAATCACTCCGCATATGCAGGCAAAGCTGGCTTGCCTCCGCCGTATATCACAATTCTTCTCAAAAACAAGCTGCACTTCCGTGGATCACCATAAATAAAAGTTATTTATTGTAATGACAAATACATGCTGTGGAACAACTTCCTATGTGTGTAACCTCTCACGCGTTTCAGCAATCTGGCTTAATCATGGAGGCCCCTATGGTATGATAAAGCCAGATTGGTGAAAAGCATGAGAGGTTGCACACATGGGAAGTTGTTCCACAGCATGTATTTGTCATTATAATAAATAACTGTTTTATCTATGGTTATCCACAAAGGTGCAGCTTGTTTTTGAGAAGAATAAAGATTAGAGGAGACCTAACTTGTTGAAGCTATTGTGGAATAAATTGAAATTAATATTGTTTTTTCTGTATACTTTTATAAAAGCCATGATAGTTGATGCAGGTGATTCTTGTGTTTTCTTATGGAGCATGATTTGTAGTGTGTATTATAGAGAACATAAAAGCCAAAATAGTGCTATTATATACAATTTGATTTTAGAAGTTCAGAAGTAGACGGGGACATATACAAAATTGAGATGATGCAAATGATTCCTGCATTGAAGCAAGTGTCATATTTTCTGTATGATCCTTAGAAATCATGAACGTTTACTATTTCTTAAACAAATAAAATACTTTTTTCACCATTTGTAATGCCTTGGTTGCACCTTGGTCCAAGGAGATATTCTCTACATTTTTCCCCCAAAGTGTGATAACATCTGGCATCAAGTCTTATTTTGTAGGTTTTTTTTGTTGGTTTGCAGGGTTTGTTTTTTTTGCAGAAATAGTTTTTATTCAGAATTTTTTTACAAACAATTTGTCAAAACATACAAAAAGGTTGCAATATATAAATAACGTACCACAAGGTGTATGAAAAGAAACAATTTTGTCACAGAACAATTGAGTGAATCCATCGTCACGGTAAGTGTCTCACCCCTCCAGAAAAAACTGAAGTATGTTCAGATCAGGAGGGCCTGTCGCCCAAATGGGGAGGGAGTGTCATGGAATCAACGACACTGATGTGGAAACCAGGGATTCTTCTTAATTAATGATAACATGGGCAAAATAAGCGGGGGAGGAACATCCCCTGAGGTTTGCAAAGGTTAAAGTTGGCCTTTACACTCAAGTATCAAATTCTACCAATGTATCCCTCTATGTATGAGGATTAATAATAACAAAGACATGTCAGGTGTAAAATGCTGTGATTTTGAAATACTTACCCTTGCAGAGCATTCACTTCCTGCTTTGAAAGTGCAAATGACATCAGTTTGCCAACACAATGCGCACCGGGATTGCCTTGTCATCAGCAGAGCATTGCTGGGACATCTCATTTGTAATCTCAGGAGATGTCAGGGAAAGGCATTTTCCCCCCCTGAGATGATGTGCATGGTCACATGTCCTAGTCACATGTCAAGTCACATGTGCCAGAAATCCAGGAAGTAATAGGAGAGCTAGTAATCTGCCCTTAGTAAACATGACCACTGTCAGAAGACTGGGGAAGAAATGAGAAATAAGATATGCAACGAATACAAAGCCAGAAATTATCTAGAAGTATGCGTTTGTAGATTGTCATTACTAAACATTTCTAAAGGTGTGTTTGTTGTTATTTTAAAGATCTTGGTAAAGGTCTGCTTTAGGTTCTTCTCCTGCTTATTCTCAATATCCAGATTTGTTGCTCTAATATCTTTCTACCTGTGGTAATAAAGGCTACAGTTTTACAACACAATATACGCCATGCTTTATAAAAGTAGCAAGTAAGGGCTTACATCTACTTTAACATGTTATGTACTGAAAGTATTAGCTAATGACTAGGACTGAACAAGAATTTTGCCCCTCATACTTTCGAAGCAATTTGGAAAACATCATAGATTATAAATATATTTGCAAAACATTACATTTTGGTTGTTTCAAGATTAATTAAGCTAATCAAATGATGTGCAATAGGAGAGGTTGCTACTGAAAAAAAATGTGCCTTTTCTTCTGATTAAGAGGAAGGAAAATGTAGTAAGCCGATTTTGTGGTTAATATCTTTCAAGGAAAATTATGGGGAGAGTGAAATACACTCATCCCCATCATTAGAGGGGACGCGTGGCACTGCAGGTGTCACACATGGGCTCTATAGATCGAGAACTGATCGATCACATAGCGCTGATCGCTCAGCTCATGTACTTCTCCCTGCAGTCACTGCTCCATGTAGGGATTGCCCCTTCGACTCTCCATTACTCCAGCACTGACTGGAGAGAAAGATGGGGCGGGCAATTAGGTGGTGGGGTGGATCCTGTCAATGTTGTCAGCATAGAAAATCTCCTCCTGTGACCCTTTTGAGCAGTGCCATATGCATAGACGATATTAAAGATTTCATTATAAAAGTCTTTTTTTTCACATTTTTTTGCAGGACACAGGAGATCATGTTGCCAGAAAGGTGGACACCAGTGTGATATTCAGTGTGAATCAGTAAATCTTAGTGCGGCCTCCATAACACCGTGAGTATATATATCTAGGACACCGGGAAAAGGGTTTGAGCTCAGATCCTTGTAACTGCAAGACAACTGTGACTATGTGTAATAGTACACACTTCAAGTGTATCAGAGTAGCCAGTGGGATTTTACCATAAACCCCTTATTTAGGCCCCGTTCACACCAGGGCGGTTGCAGATCAGCGCGGGCGGCTTCTGTTCACATTTTAAAATTGCGTTTCAGAGCTGAAACGCAATTACTAATGCCCAAAACCTTGCTGATCAGCGCGGTTCCATTGAAATCTATATGGAAATAGTGCTGATCAGCGCCAAAAAAAAGGGTCAGGGTGCATTTCGGGCGGCAGGCTGTTCGGATCATGCAGAAGCGCGCGGTCGCATGACCGGTCCCCATGGCATTGTATGGGATCGTTCATGTCGGCGGTTCATAACAGGATGGATTTAACTCACAATGATGTGAAAACATTTTTTTTATTGACTTGAATGCTACAAAGTACTTCAGCCTAGTATTCAGTTTCTTTCTGCCCTTTGTCAGATAAGCTAACTAAATTCTAACTGTGTATACCCAGCTTAAAGGACAGGGGAACATAGATTTTTAAGTGAAAGTGGTGAATTGGTAGCACTGCTTTGTTAGGGGATTTTTGTCAAATGATCCTAATCACTTGGTGGGAGTGAATGCTTTTGTCTCCCACCACCCTTATTTTGACCAAGGCCTGACAGTGGAGTTGGGGGCTATGAGGGTGGCCCATGCTAAGTTGGTACCATCAGTTTATGCTGTGTTGCAGGAGAATGGCCTCAGTATCCAGTAATTGCAGCCTACCTAGCTCAGATATAAGATTCGATTTAAAGCAGAGTCCACAATTTGCAGATGTAGATCATGGTGTCTGTAATTACAGTCAATTGCTGCCATTAGAGGTTCAGCTTCAATACCAAGGCAAATCAGGTGTGGGCCAAGACAAGTAGCTTAAGCAGCAGATAAAGTTTGAAGTCCTGCTTTGGTGACTCCATTGGAGAAGGGAGGACCTAAGATAGGACGATGTCAAGCTGTGTGCTTCAATAAAGTTCTTGGCGGTGTGGACTTGATCTTTTCTATTTGCCTTGGGCCTTCTTTTATGAGGGTGTAATGTCAAACAATGCCCTTCCAACAACCTCCAGCTTTTGTCCAAATGTGCAGTTTGGTGTGGTGTGCCACCTAATGTCCATACAGTAGTTGTCTACTGGAGGTCCAGGAGGTAAGTCTGCCCCAGGGGCCCACTCCAGCTTTTAGCATCTGTGTTGTTCACAGGAAGTATCCATAAGCATGCATCTACATATTCATGTATCTGCACATATTTAGATACTTGTGTATGCTCTTGGACATAAATAGATGCCACTAGGCTCTCATTCTGAGAAGAGTGTTATTTTAAGTATGTGTAATAATACTAATGATGATATTTATATTGTTTAGTAATTCAGAGTTCAAATCAGAAGCAGAAACAGTATCAGAAAATAAGGGACTGTTTTCTGATAATCCTGATGAAGAGTCATTTCAGAAACAAGTTTCATTAAAGCCTGCAAAACAAAATGTCAGCAGGACAACAGAAGTTAGTACTTTTCTTTGATTCTTATATTTTAATAATAGTGAAAATAAATAAAAATAAAAAATCTAGTACAGATTTTACATAGTTAGAATTGTGTTATGTTATTTTTCTCACTGCCATCAGCATCACCTAAACGAATGGGATCTGAGTTTGCGTTTATGTTAAAGTGGGTCTGCACATCTACTGTGGCCCTTATGAGGCTTTCCCACTCTCCCCAGAAAAAGGGGCTCCAAGAGATCTTTACAACTAGATCCAAAAAAGGTCAACAAAGCTCTTGACAAGGCAGTTAGTGTTTTTGGGGATTACTGCTATGTAATATGATGAGACTGTTTACTACTGTGGCGTCTTACCTTCATACATACCTTATTGGGCTGGATGTGTCTACATGTATCTTACATCATAACTTCATTATTCTTGGGTCATTTTCCATCTATTATTTGCTGGAGTTATATCTACTGCCTTGCTGAAAACATATATAAAGTATATATATTGTGATATTTGGGGATATTAGCACATATGGTGAGCGCTTTAAAGATGCAGTCCACTCGCAATATCTTCTGTTTAAGGACCTGGTAACCCACTTTTATTCAAACGAAAGTTCATACATCCACCTTGGATACTGTAACGCTCTACGGATGTGGGATAGGATCACAAATGCAGAAGCGCCCTTTAGTGACGGTTATCAGTATGCGATCCCAGAGATACACTCACCACCTCATAGTAGAAGAGGCTTGGGATCGTTTAAATCATGCTCCTTCTTACGAAAAAGGGAGTAAGTGGACCACTGAGAAGTGGAGATCACAATATAGGTGAGGGCACAATATGGTAGTACGTAGTGTAATTAAGGTATCAGGATGCACAAGCGACTTGTAGTCTACAATGGAGGTGAAGTAAGATATGGTATTGCAATTAGGCGTCAGCTAGACGGTATGCATTAGAGGTGACTGGAACACAACAGATTGTAGTCCACATTAAGGTGAAGCAATATATGGTATTGTAATTAAGAGTCAGCTAGGCTTATGCACTACAGCAGTGGCAATGGCAGCAGACTAGTGGTATCACAACTGAACCAAGGTACTTGCGGTTGTGAGGCTGAGTCCCCAGCTTCCTGAGATGTGGATCCTGGTGACAGCAGCAGAGAGGAGAGTCAGTCTTCCCAGCAAGACCGAGGGACAAGATACAGCAGGGTAAGGAGTTGGCGCTCCGTCCAGGAAGGGTTCCTCTGAATCTAGCAGTCTTAGTGCCCAGTGGTGAGAGGTCCGTATACCCGCAGAGGGTGATGTTTGGCGTTCACCGTACAACAGCAGGACGCCGAACATTCGTAACCCCACGTCCTAAATTGACAGCCGCCATGCGGGGGGAGGAGCCGACCGACGCACCGTGCGTGCGCGGCCCCTGAGCACAATGCTGGAATGGCTAGGTGTGAGTCTGTTACAGATACCCTCGCTGGGGTTCGGCATAACATCCATGCAATGCTTCAAAACAACACAACTTTAGCCTCCTGGATTCCACTTTAAACATTACCACTTCTGACCCACTGGTCCTCTTTGAAGTGCTGTTCCACACTTGTGATGGCGGCCCCTCAGGCTCACAGCTAACCTAGCCTTATCAGTTCTCCCCAGCCTCCCTGGCTGTCTTCGAGTGCCTCCAGCACACACACTTGATTCCACTTAAACTTCTGGGAGAGTCCTCCTGATTCCTGAGCAACGTCCGTTCCTATCCGAGCAGGAGCTCACCTGACTCATCTCTTACTTCTGGGGAAGTCCTCCTGACCCCTGAACACGGTCTGTTCCTATTTCCCTGCAGGAGCCAATTCCCCTAGCCAGCATCCTTTCCTTAAGGGCTGTGCACACCAGTGCAATTATTGGGTGCTGGTCACTGCTAAACCCTGGACCCAGGACTGGAGCTTTCGTCCCTCCTGAATCACTATGAAACCTCCCAGTTCCAGGATCCCAAACAGAACCCAGACAAAGCCTTGCTTCCTGACACTTCTCAGTCCATATGGCTGAGAGTCCTGGGTGATCATAACACCCAATTCTACATTGGGATTGCCACACAATACCAAGATATATATTTGGTTCCAGTCCAGGTGACATTTACTTGGTCTGTATCTACATATATGTCCTAAAGTAGTAGCAAAGAAGTATAGGGTACAGCTAAATATTTTAATAAATAAAACTTATTGCATGTTTTTGCTTACAGACATTAAGTCATGAGGCTGAAAATCCTTCATATGTCTCATCAGAATATAAATTTCCAAAGAAGCAATTCTATAAGTTCAGCATTTTTCCAGGCAAATGGGTTAAAGTTTGGTGTGACAGGCTTACATTGTTGGCATTGTTTGACAAGTAAGTATGTATTTTAAAGACTTTGTGAACATGTTTACTTAAAGGGCAATCCCATTTTCACCCAGAAAAGATTAGAGCTTCTTCTACTTATGGGCCTTCTATTATAAAGGGTGGGTTGGCTTTTGGGGTACCACATCCCATATCATCTAGATAAAAGTTAAATATAGATTATAATGGACTTTTAAGGTACCTACTCAGAGGCAATATACTGTATACTATACATGTATAACAATACAAAACCAATTTTTATAAACAACAAGTTAAAAACAATAGAATAACATATGTTTGGAAATAACAGAAATTACTCCATTGAACTAAATTGTGCCTCTACATATCCCCATCTGACACTGCTTCACATTGTTTATAATTCACATCTTATTTCATTTACAGTATATCTCATATCTCAACATATTCTAGAATATATCTCAGGATTGATTAAAGTGGAAAATCAGGGTGGGCTTGTCTAAATGCATTTCACGGATGTATACTCCTCTTCTTGGTGTGTTATGGGATTCCTGCAGCAGGAACCTATGAAAACAATCGATGCTTCCAGGGACAGTGACCTTTTTCTAATCGCATGTAATCTTATCACACATGATCATACGACTACATGCAGAGTGCTGGTGTGCCACTTTCAAATGCGGTCGCTGTCATTTAATCATTACCTTAAACAGCGGCTTCTTGTAAATGGCATATTTGGGATTTCTGCCACAGGAATCCTTGGGTTCCTGCCGCAGGGATTTCAAAACGCACCTTAGCTGTAGGTATGAATGAAGCCTTAAAGTATATAAAACATCAATGAATATTGGACAGAAAAAGCATATATACATATAATTCACACCATTAGGTTTACTATCTTACCTAAGTATTTAACATTGGAGTCACCATAGAGCTATGTAAAAAGGAATGCCTGTTAAAAATGTAATGGGAGAGCATAGGGATATAGTTGAGAGGTACCCCTCAATAAGGCAAAATGACCACAGATGATTCTAGTGTCATAATGATAGGGTATGTTACATATAAGGTGATGATAATACATTGTTAACTAATATAAAAAAATATAAATTATATTAACCAATATTGTTGCCCAGTCGTCTCCTTGTACAATATTACGTACTTTTATTTTTTTTACAGTGTATATACAGGTGAAACTCGATTAGAATATCGTGCAAAGTTCATTTATTTCACTAATGCAACTTAAAAGGTGAAACTAATATATGAGATAGACTTGCGTGAAATTTGCTAAATGATACTCTTAAGTTTTGGTTTTCCACCATGGGAAATACCTGATGAGCTGGCAATCAAAGTGAATCATTAGTCAAATACATAATCCATCAACAGAAGTCAGGGCAGTCCAGACAGGTCGGGGGTTATAACCAGAATAGAAGACAGAATACTGAATCTCAACAGGAACCTATTGCTCTGGCACTGTCCCTGTGCACTGTATACAATTTGTACCCACTGCTAGATAACAAGCTTTGAACATCATCATTTGTTGCTATGAATGCCACTTTCCTTCAGTTTTTATATAGAATGGCATTTACATTGGAATGTCATTTACTTCAGCATATCATTACCATGGTAAACGAGTTTTATATATACAGTAACCATTTATCTAAATACATTAAAACCTATATTGGGCATAATGTGTTAATGTATATGTAGGGCAAGTTGTCTGTATATTTACAGTTATATTTGAATATTGCAGAACTGAGAATATTGGGGAAAACATCATAGCAATATTGTTGGCCATCTGTGTTTCATTTTTTGGATTTTTGCTTCTGCACCAAGACCTCTTCAAAGACATTTGGGTATTCCAGTTTTGTGTTGTTATTGCAAGCTGCCAGTTTTGCCTTCTTAAGGTAATATATTTGATTGTAATATATATTATGTGATAAGTTAATAAAAAGCACAGGGTGGGTTTTCTGATAGTGATGGCGACAGCTGTGGACAATGCTTGCACAGTGTGTATTGAAATGGCCACTTGTAGTCAGCATTGGAAAACCACGTGGTAACGCAAGGTGACAACGCAGGAGCACGATTCAGATGCAGCAAGAGAGCATTTTCACCTTATAACAGGAAGTACTTGAATGAAAACAAAAGCTGCAGATTTAAGGAAATCTGGGGCTGCGCTAGTTATGTAAAAGATGTGTTGATAATTTTTTTTTCAAACTTGGTACTGTTTTTTCCTTGGTAACACCTAAAAAATAAAAAGCAAATATGTATCCAAATCCACTATCAAATTAAAGCCCTATTATAATACTATGTATATAATGTTAGGGTAGACTACAAAAGCAGAACCAAAAAAAGAAAAAACGCTCTGGGACTCAAGGGTGTTATAGGGAAAAGGGACTGGGGACTCAAGGGTGTTATAGGGAAAAAGGACTGGGGACTCAAGGGTGTTATAGGGAAAAGGGACTGGGGACTCAAGGGTGTTATAGGGAAAAAGGACTGGGGACTCAAGGGTGTTATAGGGAAAAAGGACTGGGGACTCAAGTGGTTCAGTAGTACAGAAAAATACACCTAGATCTACAAAAGTAAGATAAGTATATATTTAAATGATCATCTTACCTAAACCACAACAAAATTAAAACTTTTTACCATAAAAAGAAATTTACAAGATAGAAATATGGAAGCTGACATTGCTCAGACAGTCAGACTTCAGCTAAAGTCTAAAAATAGTTTAGACTGCCTGCCTGACCTTAAATCTCTAGTGTCTGCTAGGGATGAGCTTCAGGTTCGGGTCAACCATGAGTTTGACTCGAACACAAGACATTCACAGTTCAGAGAACTTATGTAGCCGCTCACCACTATAGCAATCAATTATCAATTACACCCTTCCTGGCCTTTGACCACAGTAAAAGGGCCAATAATGGGAGTTTTCCTATGTGCAAGGCCCCTTCCCTATAAACGTCAGGGTTCCCAGCTGCCTGTGCTGAGGATATGTGGTAACTTGGCATATATAAGGGAAGCTGACAGGGTGTTATTTGCAGGGAGAGATAGTTGCTGTTATACAAGGCTGCTAACCTGTGCTATATACAGTACAGTACTATAAAGTGCTTTATTGTGCTACATTATTAGAGTGAATTGCAGTGTGGTGGACTACATACTGTAATGAATCGTACAAGCGTAACTTGGTGTGTAGGATCACAGCTGCGGAGTTTAAGTTGAAATGGCTCAGGTGGGAGGTTCACGATTACACTTTAATTACAGGGAGTGAAGACGGAACCTCTTACACATCATATGCCATCTATAGTGGGAGTAATGGGAGTGGTTGAACTGTAATGCACGGCTCAATTGTAAGGCATTGGGCCGTGGTGGGTTTTGTAGTTCGCCTTAGTTACTTCACTAGGAGGTCGAACGTAGTTTAACCTAGTATGCGAGAGAATACAACAGTCCACTATAACTTGTACAGGAGATGGCCTTACCACAGAGTGTGAGTAATTGCAGATGGTAACAGCTTCAGGCTGAGCATATACAGAGTTCTAATGGACATCAGTAGGAGCGTACTTAAATGAATTCCCCACAAGGTGGCAGCAGCAATCACTTCAACAGTCTTCAGTGTAAGTTAGTAATACTTGCTGTTGAGATGGAAAGTTCATGCAGGGAAGTGAAGCGGTCGCCTTGCTGTGATGGCAGTCCTGAAGGGTGATCTCCACCTTCTGGTGCAGCAGGTTCTCGGTGGTAGCCACAGTGAGACGGTCTCCTTAACTTGGGTCCTAGTAGCTTGCTCGACGTGCTCTTTTGCTAGCACGTCGAGCAAGTGTTTTGCTAAGGCTTAAATAGGCAGAGCAATTGTTGGGGGAGGAGCCGGAGACGAAGCCCGACCCGAGCGTCTCCTAGCAACGGAACGCCGCTGGGCCGAGGCTGTCGTCTCGTCCTGCTGTGTAGAGAAGGGGGAGGTGGAGCATTGCGGAGCGTCCGCCCGTTGCCTAGCAACGAGACGGGGATGTTGTGGCCATCCTCGCGCTGGTCTCAGCAGACGTAGTCTGCGTTCCTGACACATACTCTGTACGCCCCCCTGCGAAAAGCAGTGTGTTAAGGTTCCATATTATTGTGTACGTACTTCTGTTTTCACTGTGCATAGACCCAACAGTCCTTTTTAGAACTACCTTTTGGTGCATGTCAGCAACAATTTCTGTTGTTCTTTATCTTCTGAGCCCTCCTTGCAGTTTGTTTTTGTATTTTATTGAGGTCTTATTTTAATTTCTTACATTTCATATTTTCATGTGCATTTTTTACTTTCAGTTGGGTTAAAGAAAAATAAAGGGTTTTTGGGGTCTAGCGTTTTAGGATTTTTAGGGAGGTTTGTGTTATTTAAATATCATTTTATTTGCCCTCATGCACTTCTTTTTGTCCCTTAGTGGTTTAAGAATTCAAATGAAATGAGACCCCATTTGTCATCTGGTTTGTAAAGGATACATTTCCCTACATGTTTTGCAGATTAGTACAATAGGAAATATTTCATACCCCCTTCTTATACAAATGTTGCAATTGTTACTGCAATGTTAACTATCAAATTGTTCTGTGGGGGCTATGCATTATGGGGGCTACCATTGTTGTGGAAATTTTATTAGGATGTGTTTTTAGTGTATTGTAATGTTTTGTCATTAGTCTCTCAGTGTCTCGGTAAATAGACGCTGGGGGATTAATCCATTGGAGGAGATTTCTTATGCGCAGCGGAGCTGTGTCTTGGCGAATGTATGGACGCCGGCTGGGGCCCCCCGTGCAATGCATGGATTTATTGGCTTGCGTGGATACATTGTCTTGAACGCAGTATATGAAAGGAACGTGCGTTTGTTTCGGAGTGAGATGTTCCTGATGTCTAATCGACCGAGTTACCGAAGCCCGACCAGACGACGACATTATCGCTGACGAGACGAGACGCCCTGAAGACCAACCCATGGACCAGATGCGGAGGATTCCAAAGCGACCGACGACCGAAGCGACCCACCACCTCCCGAAGAGCAGAACCTACGTGTCAAGATTCGTTGTCAAGGCCAAAAGTCTGCGTGTCAAGAATTGCGGGAAAAACATTGACTTTGCGTTATTTTCAATCGTCTGTTTTGCATTTATGGATTCAGGATTTTTCCGAACACGAGGGACTGTTTTTCCAAAGAAGAAGATTGAGATTCATCGAGGGACACTGAGGAGAATATGACAAAGAGGAGGGACTGTTGTGGAAATTTTATTAGGATGTGTTATTAGTGTATTGTAATGTTTTGTCATTAGTCTCCCAGTGTCTCGGTAAATAGACGCTGGGGGATTAATCCATCGGAGGAGATTTCCTATGCGCAGCGGAGCAGTGTGTTCTTGGCGAATGTGTGGACGCCGGCTGGGGCCCCCCGTGCAATGCATGGATTTATTGGCTTGCGTGGATACATTTGTCTTGAACGCAGTATATGAAAGGAACGTGCGTTTGTTCTCTCTGGGGTGCCTGATCAACACGCTTGAGATGATATAACGTTGTCCCTGTGAATGAGCGCGCATGAGAATCCTAGTAACGTTATGTGGCATTGCTCACTGAGCAACGCTGGATAAAGTCACTCCGGTGGTCATTGATTGTTACTACATGTGATTTGTTAACTGACTCCTGTTCACTTCCTGTCTCGCTGTTTGAGACACCCCTTCCTCTCTGACATCACTTCCTGTCTCGCTGTTTGAGACACCCCTTCCTGTCTGACATCACTTCCTGTTGGGCAGGTATAAAGAATAAACATACCTGTGCTCAGGGCTCTTAGCATGGGATTATCGAGCAAGCAACATCTGTCTCCTGACTCTACATGACTCTATAGAAGGAAATACTTCCAGTCCTTGCATAAAGGAGCGTAGTACAACGGGGGAAATTCTTTGTGTTTGGCGCAGCTTAATGCGACATGGATTTGTGCGTTGAACCAAGTGAATTTCCATAACACCATTACTGGCCTCCTTTAAAAAAGTATTAGCTGCCTGTTGTGTCTGGTCTTCATACATCGAATCACAGACCTGGAACATGCACAATGAAAATGAGTATCAAAAAGTATCAGAAATCCTACGATATAAAGTACAGTGATCTAGAGAGTGAATGCATCGACATGACAGACAGCCTCTATGATTCTCTCATGACAGGGTTTCTTTAAAAAGCTATGGCTCTTAGTACACATACAATGTGATCCCATGAATACGTATTCTACTTTGTGTACCCCACTGTTTCTTTTGAGTTTGCAAGCCTGATCTAGATATACAGTATAATCTCCAGGTGCATCTTGAAAATATGCCATTGTATTATTTTCATAAAAACAAAAACATCTGTATGATGATCAAATGTATTTGTTTGTACTCTGTTGTGTAGTAGTGTCTCAAATGTTATCAAGCAATCATAATTTGAATGTCTTTGTCTTTATCTAGAGTGTACAGCCAGATCCTGCATCTCCAGTCCATGTAAGTTAGCTTAGATTTTGGTGACACTGACTTTTTTATTTTGGTTAATAATAAGCATTTTATGTCACCTCTATTAAATTGTTCACAATAATTATTTTTGTATAGCTCTAAACTTACATTTCTTGCCTCCCCGCTGGGCGCTGCTCGGTGTCCCAACGGGGAGGAGAGAAAGTGTGACTGACGGCCGAGCGCTGCGGGAGGAGAGCGCTGTGAACGGCCGGCGTCTCTCTTCCCACACCGCTCAGCCACCTATTACAGTCTGGCAGAGCGGTGTGGGCGGAGACAGCCCGCGCTGTCACAGGAGGCTGAGCTCTCCTCCCTCAACCGCTCGCTCAGCTTCTTGTGACAGCTGTCAGGATGAAGACGAGTGCAAACACTCAGTGATCCCTGAGTGTTTGTAAATAATTGAGGACATGGTATGGTTACTATATCCTCAATTATGAATGAATGGGAAGTGATCTACATCACCTCCTGTTCATTTATAGTTGTATTTATAGTAAACATACTCTGTTCTCATGCTATGAATGAACAGGAACACTCATAGAGGATTCCTGTTCATTTATAACAGAGGACACAGAAAAAGAGATAGAGGACTTAAAAGGGATGAAAAGTTTTAACAAATTAAAATAAAAAACATTTTCGGTTTCGCCCTGACAATTTTTTTACTTCGCTTTGGTTTGGTTTTTAAATTTCCATTTCGGTGCACCTCTAGTTTTATATGGATCTATTCAGATCACAGAACAATCTGTAGGCAGGTTATGCAACAGTGTAATTTAAAAAAAAAAGTTAAACAGTTACATTCATAGTCATTGTAACTCGTTTTGCTAGCAAAAACAGAAGCAGGAACTGCTGTGACAGACTCCTGATGGTAGTCTGTGAGTAGTTAAAATGACACTAAACTAAGGAGTTAAACCTTAAAAATGCATCATTTGGCGGTAGATCCTCAAATCATCTGTGTATTGGCGATGACACTATCCTTCCTTCTGGAGGGTGGCTACCTTTGTTCCCTAGGGCCCCTGTGTGTGTTGTAAAGTAGCCACCGCTCCAAGCTCACTCCCCTGATAGACTACAATTTCTTGTTTAGTTTACTAATTAGTATAGGGATTGTAGTTCATCGCAGGAGCAAGCTTGGAGTGGTGGCTACCCTCCAGAAGGAAGGACAGTGTCAGCACCAATTCAGAGATGATTTGAGGATCTACAACCAAGTGATACAAAAATAAGCTACAGTTTTTAAAATATTTCAGTTTTAGTTTAGTTTAGGAGTTTAGTGTAATTTTACCTAAGTCCCCATTCACACCTGCTGTGCATGTGAACTTGTGCCAAAGCATGCAAATTGGTGTGCGTTCGTGCACCGCAGTAAAAACACATAGCATGATTGCAATGCCATTGTTTGTTAATGGCACCCCAAATGCAGCCGGTATAATGCGCGTCCTAGCCCAGGCGTTGAAGGATGCCTAATGCGTCAAGAAGCCAACCCAAAGCTTCTTTTCAGCGTTTTCAGCCTTGGGCAACCCTTTGAAATGATGGGCTTGCGCTCTGCAAAACGTGCACAAAGTGTGCACAATTGTAACGTGGTTACACATTCCAGAAGTGGGAATGGGGGCTAAGGGTTGAATTACACCAGCAAGCTGTACTACATAGTGCAAGGTGGTTGTACCAGTTGCATTACACTTCCCACTATGGAGATACAAGAGGAAGTGAAGGAAATCTCTCCAAAGTGAGGCAAATTCCCCCATTTGAAGATTTACCCTCACCTACTGTTTGGGTGGGGACTGTAAAAGTTTTGAGAGTGACAATAGTCAGATAGAGAGGGTAATCTCTCCAGTGAGGTTCTACCCTGTTTCCCCCGAAAATAAGACCTACCCCGAAAGTAAGACCTAGCACTATTTTTCAAGATTCCTGTAATATAAGACCGACCCCGAAAATAAGACCTAGTTTGGTGGTAGCATGTGAGGGGGAACTTGAAGAGCAGGAGAGATGGGATCAGCCTGCAGGGACATACTGTATTAAGGGGATGACAGGGGACTCCTTTCGGCCAGATCAGTGACAGGGAGCACTCCAGTACCATACTTCACAACTGCTGTCCCCTTGAAGGCACTGCTTAATGTAATGGTACTGTACAGTACTGTAATGTGTACCGGTAAATGGTACCATACTTTACATCGCTGTCCACTGTCTGATTTCCCCACTGCTGCACCGCTGGTACCACTGTCCCTGATGGCAAAGCATGCCAGCGCTGTAGAAAGCAAGGCTGCGGCAGTGGAGGGAGCAGAGCCGCATTAGCAGATACTTCCTCTATAGCGCCAGCTACTGTGACAGGCGGAATGATACCAGATAAATTTTGATTGTTGTAAATGAATAGCTTTAGATTGTTGTACATTTTGTTGCACAGTAAAAAAAAAAAAAAATGAGACATCCCCTGAAAATAAGAGCTAGTGTGTTTTTTGGGGGCAAAAAAAAATATAAGACAGTGTCTTATTTTCGGGGAAACACGGTAAGTCTTCCCTATTCTATCCAAAACTAAAAGGTAAATGGTGACAGTGGGTCATGGTTGAAACCCATCAGATTGGATTGTCTTCTGTGTTTCTATTAGAGATTTGCCCATTTCATGTGAGAAAACAAAACATGCTTGAAAACCACATAGAAATTTAAAGTTGAATTCCAACACGTTGGAAACATACTAAGCTTGTAAAATTGTAATAATATGTCTTATTGACAGTATATATGGCCATTGAAATTTAGTTATTTCAAAAAGTATGAAATTATATTTACATTTCATTAAAAAATCAAAGTTGTATGCCTTATCATAGTAATGCATATGGTTTTTTTTTCAGGGGTATAACCAGATCATTACATACAGCAGACCAGTTTATTTTTGTATTTTGTGTAGTGTTATTTTGCTGCTAAATGCTGGTTCTGAAGTAAAAGGATTACATTCACACACACTGTATGGATTCCATTTTTTGTCTCCAGAATGTTTCCAGATTGTCAGAGATCAAATTATTGGTGAGTAAGTTTTAATGGCTATATCAATATAGACTTATCAATATGACCTGCTTTGTTCAAAGGAACAAATAGGGCATAATTTAGTAAATCATATTATTATGTTTTGCATAAAAGTACCTAGGCCAACTGACCTAGGTTAGGCCGTTAAGGGATCCCCTAAAATCCCTTACCAGCCCCTTGATCCGAGCAGCAGCCTGGCAGAAAAGGAAAGGGGGGGGGGGGGGGGGGGACGAGCGTGCAGCCCCCCCCTTCCTGCACCATAGCAGGCCACATGCCCTCAACATGGGGAAAGCACCTTGTCCCCATGTTGATGAGGACAAGGACCTCTTCCCCACAACCCTGGCCCAAATGCATCCGAATGTCCGAATTTGCCGATATTAATACCAATTTCAATTTGGAACAAAACAAATCGCACATGTCTATAACACACGCTAATTTATATTTAAAGCAAAACTTTGGGGAAAAAATATAATTTACACACTGCACTGGGTGTGCAAATTATCACTAAAAGCTGTATGTTATGTGAAGAGGGTTGCTGCAAAGTATAAAAATCTAACCTTTCCAAATCCTACACATAACGCTGATCTTCTATGGGAAATGATAAATGCAACTCGAGCAATAAAGGTCTCTAGTCACATCCCTGCCCATTAACAAATTGCCCTGTATTTTTCTAACATAATATATGTTAGAAAATGGAGGAGAAGAGATGATGTCAGATCCCCGCCCCCTCCTCGCCCCGCAGAACGCCTTGTATTCTGTGAGAAAAGTGCAAGGCATTTTGGTAACGCCAATAAGCTATTCAGGCCTTACGCAATGAGCTGCAAAAACATATCAAATATTTTTGTTCTTTTTTTTCTCCACAATTAAAAAGATAGTTCTCCAACATGCAATGGACATTTGAAGCAAATACACCAGGTGCATTCTCACCAAACTCTTCATCTTTGTCAGGCAAGGGAGTAATGTCTACTCTGGCAATCATAAAAAATGTTCATGATCTTTGACATGCTTGGCCTCCATGCAATCACCATGCACCATAAATTGGATAGAAGACCTGTACATTTGACATCCACATCAATCCTCTTTAGACTGTCAGCGCTATCAAAGCTTAGGTTTCTGCTCTTTCAATCTTGTTTAAGAGACCATTGACCTCTCACGCCTTTAATAAAACCTAATCTGTGTCACAGATCAGCTGTAAGGCAGATCTTCTGCTACTTGTGCTTCTCTTTGCATATGGTTCTCTCTCCCTTCTTTCTACAGCATGTTTTCTTACAGGACTGGAAGGTGTAGGTGTTGCTGGAACTCACCAGCTGGTTTGTATACCACCTGCAGGATAAGTCCCTGCCCAGTCTGTCAATTAAAGTGGACCTTTACCCATATCTTTAAAATAACAATGTCTTTGTTAAATATACTGTTGAGAGCATTGTGTTGTACCTATTTAATAAGTGCTGATCTTGACAGAAATCTTGTGAGCTGATAACTTCCTGTTCTCTCTGTTATCAGTTAGCATTGTTCACAGTTTTCTCTGGCATTGTTACCAGCTCTCTCTGTAAACTATACAACACCCCTATGCTATAGAGAAGAGTAGAGGGGGAATTGATCTGTAGAAACTACTCTTCACTAGATGCAGCGAGGTTGATTTACTAAAGGCAAACATGCTGTTCACTTTGCAAGGAAATGTATACTTTGCAATGGCATTTTCCCTTAGCTTAGTAAATATAGTCATCTGCATGTGATTGGGTATTTTTGCATGATGAATTTTTACAATATTACCTAAACTAAGGAAACATTCCCTTGCAAAGTGAGCAGCCAAATTGCCTTTAGTAAATTAACCCAAGTAAGTTAGCATTGGCAGCTTAGGAAAGAATGTGTCTTTGTGGCAGGATCACCGAGGTAAAATACAGGAAAAAAACTTGAAAAGAAGAAAGTGAATGCAGCTGCCACATCTAAGGACCAGTGCTGAACTATATTATATTTTGTTATTGGGTCTGTTTTTGGGAACCCGCACTGCAGGGGTTAACTGCTTGTTGACCTGCTTCTACTTGTGGTTCTCGTAGCATGTGGTCTCTCCTTTCTTTCTACAGCATGTTTTCTTCCAGGACTGGGAGGTTTAGGTGTTGCTGGAACTCACCTGCTGGTTTATAAGTCCCTGCCCAGTCTGTCAATTAAAGCAGACTTTTACCCATATCTTTAAAATATCTTTAAAATAACAACAAACACACCTTTAGAAATGTTTAGTAATGGCAATCTACACATACATACGTCTAGATAATTGCAGACGTTGTATTCTTTGCATACCTTTTTATCTTTTCTTTCCCAGTCTTCTGACAGTGGCTGACAGTTAACCAAGGGCAGATGACTAGCTCTCCATTTACTTCCTGGAACTCTGTCACATGTGACTAGGACATGTGACCATGCACAACATCTCAGGGGAGAAAAATGCCTTTCCCTGAGATCTCATGAGATGACAGATGAGATTTCCCAGCAATGCTCTGCTGATGTAATCTTCCCAAGATGCAACGCTTTGGCACATTACATCATTTGTGCCAGAACTGGACCAGGAAGTAGATGAACTCTATTTGTAAGTAAATGAAAAACATGTTTGTTTAACTAATGAATGTAAGATGATTTCATATCACCGTGCAGAGCTGCATGCTGATGTGATTTTTAGTAAAAGGGGGTAAAGGTCCACTTTAAGCTAACTATTTAGGTTTGTTTGACCAACACCTTTTGTCTGAGCATTAGGTTTATTTCCTAGCCCCGGTCTATGTTTTTATTCTGCATTCCTGTTTCTCCACTTAACAAAATCAGCTTGTATCTGACTACACTAGCTGGCCACCCTGAAGTTTTTTCTGTCCTGTTTTTAATATTGGCTGTCGACTGTTTACCATGCTCTCGTTCTATTCCTTTTCATCTGCCACCTGCACAGAGAGCAGAAATGTCACAAAGTTCTTGAATCTGTGTTTGCCATGTCCCTGACATCCTTTGCTCAGCCCATGATTCATGTCACCAGCTGCTCCCGGTGCAGCTTTCCATGGCTACACTACTGGGAAATAAGTGGAGCAAGAATGAGCTGCTTACTGAAATGCGGGAGAGGGCAGTGTCAGATAGTTGCTTTACACAAGCAAGGAAGGATATAACATTAGTGAGGCGTGAACAAAGTGGTTTAGGGTGAGTAGGGAGTAGAGTGAGAGAATATGTTGAGAACCACTGGCTTCAGGAGGGAGGCATGAAAAAAATTGCATATGCAAAGATGAGAAGGAAGCTGGCTGATATTTCCACAGTTCAGACGTATTAAAACTGAATAAAAAAGTCAAGTGTTGTAGTCAAAACTACAAAAAAAGTCTTTTTTTTCAAGTTGTAATAAATTACAACACAAATAAAAAACATGTAACATGCATTTTGATGCATTGCTATTAACGTCGATGGGCCTCCCAACGCATGTGTCATGGACATGTCATATTTTTCAAAACACACTACACAGAAGCGCAAAAATGGGAACAGACACTGTTTTTACTATGGCGAAGTTGGACACGTGTTTTAGTGCATTGCAATCTGTACATTAATATGCAACAATGTCAATGGGCCTTTAGCATTGATGCGTTCATAGTTCCTTTAGTACAACAAAACTGCTTCTTACTACTAATTTAGGGCTTGTTCACACCAAATGCGTTCCAGATTCAGAGCAGTTACAGAACGCATCAAAAACGCGTCCAATGTATTACAATGGTATTTTGGGCTCTAGTTCACACGGCAGCATTCAGTTCCAGAGCATGCTCTGGAACGCATGCAAACACATCAAAATGCATGCAAACGCCCTTGAACGCACTGAAAGCCCATTTTAGGCTAAAACATTTTTTGAAAAACAAAAACGGCCTGGGACGCGGCAAAAAACACGGCAAAAACACGGCAAACACACTGCACTGCGTGTGCAGAAACTCATGCAGATCTGGTCTGCATTTGGTGTGAACAAGCCCTTACACATAAGGTGTGCTGCCTAATTTTAGAAACTAACTTGTATCAGTAGTGTTTAAATCTATATCTGCGTAAGATGAATAGCATCTAATTATATAAAACTGTCAACTACCTGCAACTTCCAGAAGTGTTGAATGCTGAAGAGACTTGCTAAAGCTGCAGTGATGGAATATATGAGAGGTAAGAGACCAGAGAGGTAATTATACTGTGTCTTCTACTGCAAGAAACCAGCGGTTTGATATCTGTAGAAACCTGGCAGGGTCTCTTTAAATTTTTACAGTTTTCAGAAGAATTTTAAGGGGATGTAAATAAAAATCTGCACTTTTTGTTTTTTTAGTGCTTGTGAGCTTGTTTCCTCTTATTTCTCTCCTGGGACTCTTTCCTCAAGTTAATACATTTTGTGTATATTTTCTGGAGCAAGTAGATGTCCTTGTGTTTGGTGGCTCTGGTAAGTTTTCTGTAATGTTGTTCTGAGCTCTTTTGAAAATAACATAGTAGAGTAGAAATACTGCAAATTGTAATCTTATTTACTTGAAACATACAATCGCAGGCATACCTTCCAATTTTTTTAGTCATGAGCCTTAAAGGAGAACTATGAGGTGAGTGATTTTCACTCAGCCTCATAGTTCTAGCCGACCTGTGACAATGAGACTGTCGCAGGTCGGCTCAGTAGATCGGGAGATGAGCGAACACATACCGGCGCTCGCTCACTTCTCGATCCTGTCACTGCTGTAGCTGGCGGTATACTGAGCGTGAAGGGAGGACGCTAGTTTGTGTCCTCCCGTTACCCTTAGGAGAACTATGGGGAAAAGCCCTAACCCCATAGTTCTCCTTTAACCAACAGGTCCAGACATCACAATTCTGCACATTGAAGTGTAAGTCCTTCTGGTGTTCATCAAAGTGTGTCATATCTCCCTCTGCAACAACATTACAAAATATATGCGGAGAGTATACAGAGCAGGTTATAGCTTAATTTTAGGGACTCACCTGTTGTGTGTTCATCTAGTCAGTTTGTCTGCATCACAGTTGGCTGTCTGGGGTGAGGTAAACAATTAAGCAGTTGGCTTTGAGTATGTCTTTTTTGGCTCATTCTTTTACTGGCTCTGGTTTCCTTTGATGTGCTTCCTGGTTCTGCACACGCTCTTCCAAATCTTACAGTTTGCACAAGCCTATAAAGAGAACCTAATGTCCCAAAGGAAACAAAGCATAGTCTCATTTGGGCCCACACAACATTAAATAGTACTTCAACTTCAACCATCCAGTGGACACTTTATACAACTTAGTAGCTTGGTGGTCCTACCCGAAAAAGGATTTTTGATACTAACATTGATTTATAATGTGAACATCCTATTAGGCTATTTATTAGCTTATAAGAAGCAGATTTATTCTGTTGGTTTGAACTTTATTGATGACAATAAGAAGGTGTTTTTATGTTTGGTGAACAATGTTCGCTTTTCTAAAATCGGCCCAAACATGTCATGTGTTGTTCAATTGTTAATGTTCCTGGAATTCCCTGTTTTCTTTTGTCCCTAAGATGGTAGAAGGCTTCAGAGGATAAGAGTTTGTGCCCTTGACAGTAATTTCCCATGTGCCTGCCACTTTATCGGGTGCTAAAAACTTTCTTTCTTACACAAAATTAATTTCCACTGTCTTATCTTTGCTAATGCTTTGTGGGAAACTCCTTTCATTGTGCAGGTTATTATTGTATTGTACCATATACTGTACTTGCATTCCTAGCATTCCTATAATTTTTATATCCACCACAGAATATATTATATCATGGCACACAGAATGCATTCTTCAGCTTGAGAGCAATTCTGGGTGTAACATATCGCAGGCATTGTTGGATAGGGTGCTTTATTTCTAAGAGAGCCACTCTGAGCCACTGTCTTTAGGAGAGTCATGTTGTTTACAGCATCAGTAAAGTCTTGAAACATTGCCATTATACGTATTGGAGAATGGTGGGTTAGAGTCACATTCCTTGTGCAACTTCTCCAATACCCTGCTCTTCCTCTCTGCTTCTTAGTAGCCTATCTGATTACGCAAATAAAGGAAGCAGATGTCTTAAAGCAAATATTGTCATTTAGTGCACACTTCAAGTTGTAGATTTGCAAGCCTAACAAAGTGGTTCCAAAGTATGCATATAAGAAAAGTTCACTTCTGTATATTTTCCTGATCAGGCTGAGGATAGACACGAGAAGCTGAATTGCCCATACATCAGAATGCAGGTATCCAGCACAAGGTTTTAAAAAGTGAAAACTCTTTTCTGTCATTTTTTTTAATGACAAATGGGTCACAGTAACCAGTTAGATTCCAAATCTCATAAAATGTTTGAAGTTTATTAAAGCATTGGAATGAATGCTTTGAGCTTCATTTTTCTTGTGAGTCTGTTTGATTCAAACCCAGTTCAGCTGTGTTCGCCCATACCCACTCAAAACTGTGACATGCCCCTCTCCCAACCCAGAGACCGCAGTTGCGGTGGGGGAATTTCCCACCCCTTTGTAACGTGTAGCTGCGCCTGCTGCAACTGATTGGACTGGGAGAGAGGTGTGTCAGACACGGCTTTGAATGGGCTTGCGTGAACTGAGTTCACACCAAGGCCCAGCTCATCACTAAAAAGCAATTACAACCCTTCTTTCGCATACTTTTAAACATAAGGTCCTTTTTTTCAATTGCACAGAAAAGTACCTTGTTTGTTACATACAGTAAGGCCTGGTTCACACCTGGGCGTTTTACAGCGCGTAGAGACGCGCTGTAAAACGCTCAGCATGTGAAAAACAATAATTGTCTATGGGCATGGTTCCCACGCTGAAAAACGCCCTACGCCCAAAGAAGTACAGGAGCTTCTTTGGGGCGTATTTTCCACTCGTATCCATTAGGATACAGCCGGATAACCCTCGTAAACGCGTGTTTGTCGCACGTTTCTTTTACCGCAAATCGCTGTAAAAACGCGCGGCAAACGCGCATATTCCGTACGCCCAGGTGTGAACCCAGCCTAATTGACTGCTATTTGCAACTATGCACAGTAATTAAAATGAATTGAAGTTGAAATGGATGGGTATTTTTTATCATAAAAACCTATTCTTTTTATTATTTATTTAAATTTTTACTTCCATTTCTTATTGCAGCAAAAGCTGGATTTCTGTCTGCAGTCTACAGTTTATTACAGAGCATTCTTATTGTTGCTCTTTTATTCATTGTTTGCCACCAATCCATAATGGTAAGATTACACCTTTAAAATCACCTTAAATAATGCTGTAATTGAACAAAGTGATCTATATTCAGCTAAAATATGCATTTGGCTTTAAAGTGACACTAAACCCAGGAATTACATCTTAGAAATGCATTCAATTACCTTAACTATTAACAAAAATGTATCAATGTGTGTATCACTCGGCTGTAGCTCCTCAAATCATCTCTGAATTGGTGCTGACACTGTCCTTCCTTCTGGAGGGTGGCTACTTTTGTTCCCCATGGTCTCTGTGTATGTTGTAAAGTAGTCACCGCTCCAAGCTCGCTCCTATGATGGACTACAATCTCACATTTAGTTTACTAATTTGTACTGAGATTGTAGTCCATCACAGGACTGAGCTTGGAGCGGTGGCTACTTTAGAACACACACAGGGACCATGGGAAACAAAAGTAGCCACCCTCCAGAAGGAAGGACAGTGTCAGCACCAATTCAGAGATGATTTGAGGAGCTACAGCCGAGTGATACACAAATAAGATAAATTTTTGTCCATAGTTAAGGTGCTTGAATGTATTTTTAAGATTTAACTCCCGATTTTGGTGTCACTTGCTCCATGCTCCAAGTAACTGATCAGGACGCAGCTCCCTGAAATCTGAACTTTCAGCGATAGAGAACTTAAAACAGGATGTTGGTTTGAATTTTCATAATATAAAGTTGAAGGAATAGTTTTATTAGATTTAATGTTTATATTAGATTTGAATGTATCACTTAACACTCAACTATATTTCTTTGTAATTATTTATTAGGAGCCCTGGGACATTAGACACATACCACCTCTCTTTTCTATTTTTTGTGGTCTTTTGATTTCGCTTTCTTATCACTTAAGCCGACAAACTAGTGATCCATCTATTCTAATGTAAGTAACACTTCTAATATTATATATCATGGTGTAATGTTTACAATTTGCAATGAGATAAAAAGGGGGTAGGAAGGGGACCTTTTATTAAATTTGATTGAATGAAAGTGAAACTGCAATAGAGAAAGGTCAGGTCCCCTCCCAGCTTCACACGGATGTGTTGTGTATCAGAGCTGTGTAAATCTCAGAACCAGATGGACAAAAATGCAAATCCTTTGGCAGGTAAAACAGCTCTTGTAAATGTATTTTATCTCTAGCTGTAATACTGTAATACTGCTTTTTATCTTATATATGCTGCAGTTCCAGCAAACACAATCCAATACCTCGATCTCCCACATATTAGGGCCATCCTATTGCTTCATGAAATAAGCTTGACATCCAACAGAGGGTTTTGGTGAATTATATGTCATTACAATTTAACTGATGCTGCAGTCATATGATAAGATTATTTTTACACATTTCTTTTTTATAGCTCCCTGGTTAAATGTAAACTATTTCGCAGACTGTTTTGTGAAAATGTGAAAATTATTCCAACACAGCAAGAAGATCCTTTACCACAAAAGATGAAGAGATTAGTGGTAAATATTCTGAACAGTACTTAGTGTGTTAATGCTAAACGTTACCATTTCCTGGTTCTAAGTGGACACAGGAAGATGATTTGAGCTAAAGTCTGTCTTTAGACCAAGTGTAGATGTCTTTACACAGGGGGAGTTAAATCTCTCCAAGTTCTAGAGTCATATTTGACTCTTAAAGGAGAACTATGGGGTTAAGTCTTTTCCCCATAGTTCTCCTTAGGGTAACGGGAGGACACAAACTAGCGTCCTCCCGTCACGCTAGGCTCAGTATACCGCAGCTCATTGTCACAGGTCGGCTAGAACTATGAGGTGAGTGAAAAGCACTCACCTCTTTGTTCTCCTTTTAAATATGCATTCAAGTACCTTAACTATTACAAAAATGTATCTTATTTGTGTATCACTCGGCTGTAGATCCTCAAATCATCTCTGAATTCATGCTGACACTCTCCTTCCTTCTGGTGGGTGGATACTTTTGTTCTCCATGATCTTTGCGTGTGTTGTAAAGCAGTCACCGCTCCAGGCTCACTCCTGTGATGGATACACTCTCAAGAAAAATTAGTTAACTAAACTTTAGATTGTAGTCCATCACAGGAGTGAGCTTGGAGTGGTGGCTACTTACTTTACAACATACACAGGGACCATGGGGAACAAATGTAGCCACCCTCCAGAAGGAAGGACAGTGTCAGCACCAATTCAGAGATGATTTGAGGATCTACAGCCGAGTGATACACAGATAAGATAAATTTTTGTTAATAGTTTGGGAACTCAAATGCATTTTTAAGATTTAACTCCTGAGTTTAGAGTTACTTTAAATCCAAGCTGACAGACAGAGAAAAAAACGCCATAAATGCTGCATGCAAGGTAATATATTATTACTAGCTGGCATTGTGTTCTTTCTTTCCCAGCCACCAATTGTCTGTTTAGGGAACCGAACCAGGTCCTCTTGTGTGGCCATATTCCTTCATGGCCCTGTTATATATCAGGACATTATTTTTCCATTGTGGGTGAAAGAAAAACATCCTGTGATGCTCTATCAAAATTGTCATATTCTGATGATAGCTAGTAATAATGTACATGTTTATGTTTTATTATAAAGGTCAATCAAGGATTCTGATATTGCATGTATAGTACAAGGGAGGCATAAGAGAGCTGCCCTATCAAGTGCCCCAGCTAAATAATTAACCCAAGTTCTTGTCTAAAATGAATAGATGTGTACATTCAACAGCCAAATGCTACATTAAGACAAATTGCACAGGTGAGGATAATTATGTAATAGCCATACTGAATGGCAGAGAAGTGTGTGTTACAATAACAAAAAATAGTTTCAATTAATTTTAGTCATGGTATAGTCCCATTGTGTATTCCCTAAGCTTTGACTGGTTAATTACCCTGTTTACTCAATGAGAATTACTACGGTTATATTGTAACTGAAATAGGATAAACGAGGCAATTATGATTACACTTATGAGACAGACAAACCAGAAGACCTTGGAAATATGGTTTATTTATTTATTTGTACGTAAATAATCAAGGAGTTGGGTAGGTGTTCCGGTCTATTTAAAAATGTGATTTTGTATGCCATAGAGAAGTTTAACTAAAAAAAAAAAAGTGGTTCAATATGTTTAAATCATAGCGTGTGCTAAATATGCATTTTGTTTCACAGAAAGAAATTCTAATATCCGATCTTATTGTCTGCACAGTTGTTGCTATTTTGACATTTGCAGTCAGTGCCAGCACAGTGTTTTTGTCTCTAAGAGTAAGTAATATACAATATATATTTTGGAAAAAGAAAGAGAATTCTGTAAACTTGAAAAATACATTTTTATTTCAGTTCCTTATGGAAAGGAAATCCCATTTGTGAGCATTTTATTCTTTTCCATTTTTAAATGCATCAGCCCCTACGTTTGACTTTAAAAGAGGACCAGACAAATCCAGAAAGCCTGGTAGCCCTTAAACTGTCATAGCTGCTGATTAAGGTCTTTTCAATTGTCAACTTTGCAAAGATGTATTTTTTCAGTGGTTCCAGAAAATTGCCTGACAACTCACAGTTTGTACATAATGGATTCTTAATACTCTTCTTGTGTCCATCCCTGCTTTAATGCAGACAAATACCCAAATGTTGGCACAAAGCTATTGTAATGGCCTTGCTAGAGTTAAAAAATGTAAACAATAAGGGCAGAAATATTTACTTGCACTGGAGACAATGTTACACAAGACTCTGTCCAGTGCTACACACATGTCCATAAATCTAAAAGTTTGGTCAGCTTCTTGGAATAACAATTTGGTTTTTGAATATATTTTGTCTTCAGGTAATGGTAAATGTCATGTGGAGGTATGGAGGATTAATCTGTAAAGGTTTAAGATATTTATGATAATCATGTCTTAGATTTTTAATATTGAATGGATAAATCTATTTTAATTTATTTTATTTGGAGGACTAAAACATAGAGAAGTAAATGGATGGAATAATGCGATACAAAAGATGTATGATTTTAGCTTTTGGAAATTAGATGAATATCATTTAGAGTGAATTGCTTACTATAAAATATATATTAAACTAGCCAGACAACTAGGGGGTCCCAAAGATGCAGTTGAGCTTTAAAATGTTAGTTTTGAAAAAGATTCAAAATGTCAAAATTGACATTCTAAAATTTTCATTAAAAAATTGATACACGTACCATAAATTCCCACATTTAATTTGATGCAGATAAACAGTAAAATACAGCAGCTTGTGTATCTATTTATTTGATTTTAAAATAATAAATATTATTAACATTTTATAAATATTGAGACCTAGCCTTATCAGAGACAGGTCTGTCCAATCCATGGACAGTAACTTTATTACTGACCATTAATGACAAGGGCATTGCATTTCTGACTAGATCAACAGTTATTTTCTGTACTTGCTAAAAAAGATTCTTAGCCTTAAAATACAGGCGTCCCCAGGCCAGGTGTCACCTGTGGGGGGAGAGGGGGGACCCGCTCGCTCGCTCGCTCCATGACCGAGTGCCTGACTTTTCAGTCACCCACTGCACCACCCTTGTGATGCCACTGCCCCAATGGGGTCACACTCAGAAAAAGAAAGACATAGAGAGTATAACCATTCTCTGTCTAAAATTGGCTTGAATTAGGCTTGGTGTAATTATGTAAATAAACAACTATTTAATTTTCTCTTTACAGCCATTTCTTAGTATTGTGTTACTTGCCTTAACATTGATAGTGGGTGTCTTGGCACACTATGTAATTCCTCAGCTTCGAAAACATCATCCTTGGCTATGGATTTCTCAGCCAGTTCTACAAAACAGAGAATATAAACAGAGGGAAGTTCTTGGTAGGTACAAAATTAATGTTGATAACTTGCTTTTAATTTTTTATAGTCAGGAGTACTTAATTGTAAACCACACTGAATAATCCCAGTAAAATGTAACACCTTTCTCTACACCATATACATGTTTCCAACAGTCAAAAAGAAAATCACAGATTTTCAGAGAAAGTTATAAACTGATCAGACATACAGGTAAAGGGCAACAATATTACTTTATATATAACGATAAACCCCTGTGCTATTACTAATTATTAAAAAAATAAAAACTTCCCTACAACAGCTGCTAGCAGATGAATCATCAAAAATAAAATATTTCACATTAAACCAATTATACTTATGTGGAAAAATATGTTATTATATCTCTTAAATATTATATCACTATGAATACCCAAATTTATGTGATATTGATAGAAAGTCCACAATATGTAGTCCATGTCCTCACTCACACAAATAAATAAAAAAATACTAGTCCACAATTCATGATAAGTAATTGGTGCCACCTTCTTCTTCACAACTCCAATGTTATTGGCTTCAAACATATCCACTTCAAACCCATACATATAGCCTTCTACCCACTGGCGGAACTACAAGGGTTGCATTGGTCACAGGGGGAAGGAAAGAAGAGGGCTCAGCCCCCCGCCTCGGGGCCTGGCCCTGGTAACCGCTGAGGTGCCGAGGGACATGTTAGATGGTCAGGGGAGGGCTATCTGGCGGCCCACTTTCTGCTCATTAGGCTGCGATCTTCTGCTGGCTCAATTTGAGGAGAACATGGATGGTTACCAGGTTACCACCGCTGCCTGCTTCTCCGCCAAGATGATGACTGCCGTTGTCAGACGATAATGTGGCACTGACGGTGACTGTGTGAGGGTGTGTTGTCACGGCTGAGGAGAGCAGGAAGGAAAAGTTGTGAGGTGGTGTTGGTGTGAAGGAAGGTGCCTCCTTGTGTGTGACAAATTCATCTATAGCAGTCCAACACTGCTCAGCTGATATAAGTTATATCAGCTAAGCAGTGTTGGCCTACTATAGATTAACAGTCGCAGCGCTCACATGTGCGACCAGGCCCTGGAATTCCGCCACTTGGGGGGCGGGGGGTTTCCCCCGAAAGGAAGAAGAGAGCTCGGTAACCGCTGAGGTGGGGGGGAGGGCCTTCATGGTTTCTTGCGTCGGGGCCCTGAAATGTTTTAGTTACGCCTCTGCTTCTACCCCTTGTTGGGATAAAACTCACACACAAAAAACTCGCACAAAAAGCCAATGCATATCACATAAATGCTGTTAAATGCCATTCCCTTCCATTCATGAAAGCGATTGTGAATGCAAAACCAGCCCAAAGCAACACGGTCACAACTAAAAAATATTTCAAATGCAAGCTGGCCACCTCCATGCACACAAACCCTAAAATTACTGAAACATTGTTGATTTATCATAAATTCCATAAACCACAGTACTCTGTGTAAACTCAATACATAAATATAGTGCAAATATATACTGTATACTGTGTATCTCTCTCTCTCTCTCTCTCTCTCTCTCTCTTTCTCCCTCTCCCTACCCCTACACTGAGTGGCCAGATTATTATGACCACCCCATCAGTACTTCGTTGGGCCACAAGATAACTCCACGAGATGACCTCCTTGGGCCGCCTCGTTACTCCACGAGACATTGAAAGGTGATGCGAGGAATCTGACACTGCACTGTTGCCCTTCTGTTGTCTTGTACCAGTCTTCCCACTCTCCGTTCTGCCCTAACATTGACCAGTCGCTGACGGCCACAATTCACACGTTCAGACCCAGATTTTCGGCTGACAGTCCAGTCTTTAAACACTTTAACAACAGCTGCTCTTGAACATTTAACAAATTCTTCTGTTTTGCTGATATTCGCTCCATGGCTTGAGCGCCAACAATCATCCCACGTTCAAAGGCTGTTAAATTGCGTTGTTTACCCGTATCTTCAGAAAAAAATCACTTCTACTGTCGTGGTAAACAACCTGCTTCCCTATTTATAATGGTCTGGCCCTCTAGCAACTTCAGCGCGAAATTATAGCTAATTATAGATAATTTGCCTACAAACGTCAGGTGGTCATAATAATCTGGTCACATACACACACATAAAAAAAAAATGTCTGCAAAGAATACAAAAGAATTAAAAAAACAACAAAAAGGTTCAAGTACACCAATCTGCAATCATATAAGGGTTGATTTACTAAAGGCAAATAGGCTGTTGATTTGCAAGGGAATTTTCCCTTTAGCATAATAAATGAGGCAAAGCTCTGCTGACTTCTATCACCCAATCATATGCAATATTAAATCACCCTTGCTCATGATTAGGTATTTTTTCAGACCACACTGAACAGTTAAATTAAAAAAAAGCTGGTCTAAAGAGCACTCTCATACAGATATGAGTATTCCAGCCATCCCTCTAAGTAAAACTATGAAATGCTGCTAGCTCCAACTGAACAAAGTTAATTAACAGATCAATAAGATATGTGCCGCACACATATTATCTTATTTACCAGCCCATATAAATCACTCATTTGTAACTATTTATAGTATATATTTACTTTATTTGCTACAGATGTTATGGTGTTCTTTTTTTTTATATATTTTAGGCGCAGCACAACTGATGTGGTTTGAAAAGGTTTATGTGTGGCTTGTCTGCCTTGAGAAATATGTCTTGTATCCATCAATCATTTTAAGTGCTGCAACTATTGAGGCATTTTCAATCAGCAAATACTCAAGATTTGGAAAAAAGTAAGCTGCAGTATTTCTACAGTAGGAACAATTATCCAAGGTGGCTGTAGGATTGCTAACTGTGTTATACTCTTTACTAGTCTGAAATGAAACACAAAAGGAATATTGAATTGATTGAACTGATTGTGAACAAATCATATACATATGTGAAAGAACATCATAACCTTTGTTTTTTTTTTACATGTCTCTGTTTGCATCTAATGCTTCATGTTAGTTGCACATTTGACATTTAGAGATGAGCAAAAATGTTTGCGTTAATCAGAATTTCCAGTGATACTGGAGAGTTTGTTCCCAGAGGGGGTTTGCTGGGTTATCGTACAATTTTCGTTTGCAATCCCGTTTTCGTCCGATATTAGTAAGGTTGATGGGCAGTGTACAACCGCAAATACTGTACAATCGTATGACTTTTGACTTTCCAGCAGGTTAGAAAACTTCTGTCGAATCGTACAAAGTTTGCAAGGTTGGTGGCGTTTTTGTACGTCAAAAATCGCACGATTAACACTGCTCATACGCAAACGAAAATCCGTGCCATCAATTAACTAAATTCGTCCAGGTGATTTTGCTAACGACCACTAAATCGTACAACTAAAATATTCATCCGATAATTGCAAGGTGTATGGGCACCTTTAGGCAGCAAACCCAATAAGCTCAGTGAACTGGTAAAGTGGTCCAAAAGACCCCTCTAAGCAGGTGGATTATATTATACAAAATGAGTATGTTAAAAAAAAGGTCTTCACTTCAGTGCTATTTATAGTTAGTCAATTTCAGCTTTGCAAGTTTTTTCTAAAGAAAGTCAGCAATAGCAGCCTTTTCATTCCACCCAGTTAAGGTTTCCTTTAAGATAAATAAATGATCATCCGTACACACACTCTCTGTATCCTGAAATCATTGTTTTGATATTATCTGCATGTGAAATTTGCAAAAGTATCCAATGCATACAATTCAATACAAAATGTAAACACCACATTTCAAATCCTTTAGAAATGTTTCCCAATGCATGTTTTGATGCAGATTAGATCACATTAATCATGCTGAGGGCTCTTATGCTGGGCACACACCTTACAACCATCGCAATACTTTGCGATGGTTGCGGCGGGTTTTCAAACATGTTCGTAAGTTAAAAGTCGTGCGATTTTACAGTAGCAGAGGTCGCACGGCTTCCACACACCTTACGATAATCGTACGATCGCGGGAAAAATGTCACCAGCACACCAAATCGATGATTACAGCAAAGTGCCTGATCTGAGCCTGATGAGGGGGACCCTGCGTGGCCCCGAAAGCACTTGCATAATGAGAGACAGCATCCATCAATAAATGAGCACTTTGCTGTAATCATCGATTTGGTGTGCTGGTGACATTTCTCAAATATCTACATGATGCGGCGCCATCTGCAGTCATTTCAAGCACCCGCCATTGTATCCATATGGGAATCCCGGTAAGGAGTGCAGCAAGGATCTTGTTTCCAGTTCCTTAGCCAAGCGCTGAGTAGCTGTTCTCCAGCACTTCAGTTCGCTGCAGCAGCTTCACTAAATGCTTCGGCTGCACAGTGCTAAGAAAAATGGCGGAAGATAATATTTTCGACTGATAAATACCATTTTCCAAGGAATATTTGGTGTGCTCGTTCCACCAAAACTATAAATTGTAGGTTCCCACACTGAATTGTGATTACCCCTAAGGGGGCTCAGGGACCTTTCTCCAGCGCTGTCAGGTGTGCCCACAGTTAAAATGGCTGCTGGTGCTCTGTCCCCACCTCTCCATCACACTCAGCGTGCTCGCAGCACATCGTTTAGCGGCGGTTTGCTAACTAAGCACTGGCAGCTTCAGCTGATTGCTGACTGCTTGTAACTGCTCTGCTTGTAGCTGCCGGTAGTGCGGGAGGAAAGCTCGGTCTCCTTTGACAGCTGACTCCTCCCCCACACCGTCGGCTCTGCCTCCTCCCCCACACTGCTCCCCATCCTGATCTGTCACAGGAGGCCAAGCGGGGTGGTACAGGAGGAGAGCTCGGGGTCCTGTGACACGCCGTTTACAGCGCTCTCCCCCCCGCCCCGCTTAGCCTCCTGACAGTTTCTCTCCTCCCCACTGAGGGGGGGGGGGGTTTTTTTTAGAGGGGACAGAGAGCAGTGCCCAACGAGGAGGAAATATGGTACTTTTGGCATTTTGCCCAAAGCGCCATTTTCGGCCGATATGTTTCGTCGGCCGCAATTTCGGTGCATCACTATTTGTTACTGCTACAGCAGATAATAGCAGATAATAGTTTTGACTTGGGACGACTGCATTTGACAGTTGATGACAAGAAGACAGGGTTTGATGCAAGCCAGTGTAAGTCATTTCATGCTGGATGAGAGTTGATTTTCCAAGAGATGCATCTGCTTGCCCACAACTTGGCTTATGACAGGGTGAGATAATTCTTTAGGTGATTTTGTCAGACACCTGAGCTCAATGGATAAAGGAGGACCAGCCAAAGGTTCTGGGTCCAGTTTTGCTGAGCCTTCTGCAGCTTTCTGCTGAGGTAAGTAACCAATGTCCACCAAAGAGGACCCTCCTCCCACTGACAACCAATGTACAGGGGCCCTTCTTTCACTGACCACCATTATGCGTGCATAATTTGGTTTAAAAAGATACTGTATATTACATGTAGTCTATTGTTTTATTTATTTTTTTGTTTGTACCTGCAGATTGGATTCTTTGTTAATATCCGTTGCTGGATTAAAACTTCTAAGATCTTGTTTCTGCAGTCCTATTCATCAGTATCTGGTTTTTGGATTTACAGTCCTATTTTTTCTCTTTGACTATCACGTTATTTCTGAAAGCTTTTTACTGGATTTTTATTTTATGACCATCTTGTTCTACAAGGTAAACTAATTCATTTCGTGGGTATGTCTGATTTTTAATTAGTTCCGTATATTTATCCTCATTTTTGCACACATATAATTATATAGTTTAGTTTATTTGTATATTTTTAGTTTGGGTGTGATGGAGTTTTAGTTTTCAATAATGAAAGGGAACAGTAAACATTTCTAAACATAGAGTGAGAAGACATTAAAGCTAATGACTGCTAAGCTGTTAAGGCAGACTAAGGGCGGTGTTTTGCAGGAAAGATAAGTAGCCTGCAGGCAGATTTACAGTATGCTGCTGCTAATATATTGCTGCAAAGACTTTCTTTAACTCTCTGCATTTAGCCTTTGAGTGATTTTTCTGTAACAATAGCTTTTATTACATTTTTAAACAAGAATAAACAATAAGATCACCCTTTAGGGGTCGTCAACATAGAAATGGAAGAGACAGCGAACTAGTCCATGAGTCATATCTAACAAAACTTTCAGCTTGTGAGGATCCATAATAATAAGGTTCTCTTGATCCATGCTGCATGCTGAAAGCAAACAATTAACAAAGAAGGTGGTTGGAAAGCAATGAAGGATAGAGGCCTCCCAAAATTATTGCAGGAACCAATTGAGAAAAAATTATGGGGAGCTGATCAAGTAGGGAGGAAAGGGGAGAAATCAAAGGGGAAAGGAAAGAGGGAAGAACTATAACAGCAAGAGTCAGTATAGGAGAAAATCAGAGAGAGAAATCCAGGGCCCCTACTACCCCCAAATCTGACTGAGACGTGTCATAGACAGTGTAGGATGGGGAAATTTATGGATGGAAGGGCACAGGAGATCCAGGGATCCCAAATCTTAAGAAATTTAGCATGGGAATCACGAATTACGCTCGTCATTTTCTCATTAATTAGCAACGTATTTTACGGAGCCACATGTCATGAAAAGGGGCCCTGGGGGTCTTCCCTCTTTCAATGGTCTGTCTCACTGCCAAAAAAAGGTACGTGAGTAAGGTCTGTTGAGAAGTTTAAAGTGAAGGCATTTTTTGGGGGAGAAGGGCTACACGCGGGTCTCTACAAAGTGCGGTGTGAAGTAGCGATTGTATGAGGCCAAACACTCGGGACCAAAATAAGGTCCATTTATGGCACGTCCACAGACATGTAAGACATTTCCCAATTGATCACATCCCCGAAGACATCGGTCACTATACGTCGGGATCGCCTTTGCTAATAACGAAGGAAAACATTACCACCGCATGAGGACTTTGTAAGCAGACTCTAAAATGTAGTTATTAAAAGAGCATTTAGCTATATGAGACCAGATCTCCCTTCAGTCCTCCTCTTTTAGGGTGACAGACAGAGTAGACAAGTCCCTGTTCCAATTATCTATGTCCGACAAACCAGAGGTGGCTGGCGTGGAGTTGAGGAGCAAATACAACATACAAATGAGGCCAGAAGTGCCTGGAGAGTGTAGGCAAATATGTTCAAATGGCAACTT